CTCTCCTAGAGCAGAAGGAGCAGCAGGAGAGGCTGCGGGAGGCAGCGGCCTTGGGGGACATTCGGGAGGTGCAGAAACTGGTGGAGAGCGGGGTGGATGTGAACTCCCAAAATGAGGTCAACGGCTGGTAAGTGGCGAGCGGGGGAGGCCTAGGGTTCAGGGTCCCTAGCTCGGGGCATGGAGCAGTCAGCCTTGACCTAGGACGCAGGCTAAGGTGAAGGCTGGTACCTCAGGTCTCGCAGGTTGTGCGCTTTCGAGACTAGCCCTGGCCTCATTGCCCCCAGCAGTCAGGAGCGCATCCTCCCCACCGCGGCCAGCGCCCTCCAGGACGCTAGAGCCCACGCCATTCCCCGCACCCCCTGGCTATCTTGGCCCGAAAGGCGATACTAGAGGCTTTGATGCTCAGCGACTCTGCTCTGGATTTCATCAGGCTTGAATTATTTTGCCACGGGCGCTTCTGCAGACACTTCGTGTAGAGATGAAAGCATAAGCAATCGAGCAAATGCCAGTCTTAGAACCAGCACTATTCCTTTAAGCCAAGACCAGGAGAAAAGAAACAACTACAAAAACCCCACCACTTGCCTCTGTGTTACAATGCTACTGCCTACAGCTGCCTGTTGAGAGGCGACTCATTTGTTTGCCTTGTAGAGTGTTTTGTTTTCTTAGTATTTCCAACAGAGGATTTCACTCAAGGCTTTAGATGTCTGCTTGCAGATTGCCCCCTTCCCAATTAAATAAGGAGTCTCATGCTAAGATGTGATCGAATCTTTAGTTTGAAGTTACAGAATGTAGTATTAGTCTGCCCCTATTTGCATTTCCATTTCAATTTTTTACTTAATCCGGGTAATGCTTAACTAGCCTCTTTTGCTAGTTCAAAGTTAAAATAAGTTTGAACACTACTCCCTCACCCCCCCACCCCCGGCAAATCCAATCGTACATTTTGGAACTGAAAGGGCACTGGAGATCATTTGAATTCCCGAGAATGTTTTGTCCTGGTTGCACAATTGTTAATATGACATCAGAATCAGAATTGAGGTTTTCTTACTTTGTAAGAAATCCACCTGCCTCCTTTCCCTAAAGAAACTATCCCAGATAGCTGTCCACAGCTAGGAGACAGTGGGTACTACTTTGTCTCATTTGAAGTGTTTGCAATCAAAAAAACTTGTAGTTGTGTTTGCCTTGCCATGATGTCCAAAAGCTGTGAGTTACTGTTTTGGCACTGGGAAGCAGTGTTTTACAGAATAATGAGCCTGATCTTGGTGCAGGTTTCTGCCTGCTTAGCTGTATGATCTTGTCCAAGTCACTTCCAGTTATTTCAGAAGGGTTGTTAGCATTTATCCAGAGGAAGAATAATAAGTAGCTACTCTCTATTGAGCATGCTCTGTGGCACAGATGTGGTTCTGAACACTTGACATACCTCATTTACAACTATTTGGGGACATCAGTTATTGTTATTTTCTCCATCTTAAAAATGAAGAAACTGAGGCCCCAAGAAAATTAAGTAAACCATCCAATTTTCAAAATGTCCCTAAATTGCTAAATTGGGGGTTTAGGAAGTCCACATTACTGTTAGCTGTTAAGTAGCTGGTAGAGCTGAAAATGAATCCAGTGCTTGACACCCTCAGTACACTGCCTGCCCTTGCCAGATATACAGTAATGTGATGAGACTTCCTGAACTCCATGTCAGTCAATTCAATCTGAGAGTGAATTCCCAGATTCCCTCTTTCCCGCCTTATACTCTTGGCCTACTGCTTTGAGTCCTCATCTCAGCCTCTTATATGACCAGGCCAGAGAACTGGCACTGTCCCCATCCCTGTCTTTCCTTCACACACTACATACGATCAGACAGTTCTGCTGCCTGCATGTTCAGATGGGATCTGACTACCTCTCACAAACTCTGCTGTCACACTGTCATACAAAGCTGCTACCATTTATCTTGCTAGATAGTCCATAGTCTCCTTGCTTATATTATGACCTTAACTCGTGGTCTGAGGGACCCTGACTTAGGACAGTTGGATCACTTCACTCAAAGTCCTCTAGTGGCTCCCATGTTACACTGATAAGAAGCCGATTTCCACTCCCTTAACTGACCTTTGGGCCCCTTCTCTTGAGACTTGCTTCCTTGTTCACTCCTTTATATTTCCCTTGGCTTCCTTGCTTTTTCAGGAACAACACACCCCAATTCTAGATTTTGCATTTTGCCTTCCTTCTTGTCTAGAAAGCTTTTCTTCATATACCCATGGTTTGCTCTCTATCCTCGTTCAGATCTTAGCTTGGGTAAAGATTTTCCTTGGCTGTCAGTTAAAAATTATGCAACTCCAGCTGGGCAGTGATGATGTGCACCTCTAACCACAGTACTCTGGAAGCCTAGGCAGGCAGATCCCTAATCTCTTACTCTGCTTTATTGTCCCATAAAACTTAATACCCACCTAGTAAACTACGTACTTTGCTTATTTACTTGCTAATTGTCCTAGCATTGTTTGATTGTAAAATGAGTGAAGAATGTTCACAATATTAGGTTTTTCTTTTCTTTCTCTCTTTAAGATTTTTAAAGATTTATTTATTTTATGTATATGAGTACATGGCAGAAGAGGGCATCAGATCCCATTATAGATGACTGCGAGCCACTTTGTGGTTGCTGGGAATTGAACTCAGGACCTCTGGAAGAGCACCAGAAGTCTGCTGAGCCATCTCTCCAGCCCTGCCCCTCCTCTTTCTTTTTTGACTTGGTCTTGCTGTGTTGCCTGGACTGGCCTTAACTCTTGTCCTCAAAGTTACCTTCTTCCTACCCTCACTTTACCCAGCTACTCATGGGATATTTTGAAGATTAAATGAGTAGAGCCTTTAGAACAATGTCCAACATGTAAAGTATTATGTCTGTGTTAGCTATTTTTATTTTCTTATTATTAGGCAACATGTTGGGAGACATAAAAAGTCCCCCTGGGGGGGAAAAAACCAACTCTTTTCAATATTGAAAAGTAGACTGGTGACTGCTTTCAATTCTTGGTTGCTCAGTAACCACAGCTTCAGCAGTGATGAATGATGCCCAGTTGATGAATGATGCCCAAAGCCTCTGGTCTAAAATACTTTCCAGCCCTAATGGGATATTCTGACTGCAAATATAAAGTTTAAAGAGTTGAAGTTCAAAAATAGAGTTTCCACATCAATTGTAATTCAAGTGTCATGTGTCCCCTTTGGCTTTAGAAATGAGTATTATGGTTTATGAAGAAGTTGAAAATACTGCCTGGCTGCAATGGTTGTAAGTTATAGCTGTCGATAGCCACTCAGCTCTAGACTGCAAATGATGGTCACTGAGGGTACAGGGTGACTGAGACATGCCGTGTCCACTTAACCCCATTTTACATGGTAGTACTCTAACTGGTGGTTTGTTCAGTCTCTCTGCCCCACTCACAGTATTACTCTTTCACTCTCTTCATGGCCGAGTAATGTACTACTAGCAAGTAAGTTCTTTCCAAAAGGGAGCATATTTTCTCAGTCTGATCCATTCATTTTTGAGTGCTTGCTTACTGTAATCATTTTTCAAGCCTATACCACAGATATCTCCACACAAATATACTCTGAGCTGCAGTTTGCTTAGAGTCAAGGAAATTTTGGATCCCTGTATGCTAAACAATGTTCATTTTTTCCTAGGTTCACTAATTATTAAGTGATAAGTAAGTACTTAGGCTGGAGATGTAGCTCAATGGTAGAGTACTGGCCTAACATAAGTGAGGACATGGGTTCAATCTGATATCACCCCCCCCCCACACACACACACATCTGTATATGTCAGATAAATGCTTTCTTCTGTTCATTCTCTACTGAGGATGTAGCTCAGTTACTTGCCTAGCATGTGTGAGGCTCTGGGTTACAGCACAACAAAATAATTTTAAAAGCCTCTTCCCCGTTTTCCCCATATGGACAGTCATTTTTATTAAAGAGTACATGAAAGGTACATGGATGGTGAATGAGTGGCTCCTACCCAGTCATTCAAACTAGCGTTCTCTAAATCATTACTGTAAAGATACACAAGGCAAATCAGCTTCTAATTGAAATCAAGTACACTTTACAGATAGTTGTACTTCTTAGGTTAGTGGCCTCTCTGTTGAGCCTCAACTGTGTTCATTATCTTATCTGGGTTTGGTTGTAAGCTCTGAAGATGGTTATCTGGGTTAGATTAGAGAGTTGGTGAATGAGGTCTTTTAAAATGGGGAAAAGCGTTTTCCTTCAGTAATATGCATTCTGCTCTGCACCTGAGGATGCAACTTCTGTTACGGTGGCATTTTTGAGGAATGCTAACTAAATTTCTATACAGTAGTTCTTTGGACTGTACAGCACCTCTATGTATAAAATAGCAAATTGTTTTGCTTAAGTGAGGCTATTATGCTATATGGGTCTGTTCTTGAACCAATTTGGTTGTTGATATCTTTGCTTTCAGTGCCTTCAGAGTAAAAAAGTATGTGTGCAGTGTTTCATTTGAGCAGATGAGGATACGTTGGTAGCCGTCTGGAGAGATTGAGAAAAGCTAGCATTTCGCAAAATGGAAATTTCAAAATCGTGTATGTGTGTAGGTGTATGTAGGAAAGAAACAGAGGAAAAGGGGGTAAGCAGCTGAGATTGATGCCGTAGTCCTTGCTGTCGTAATGACTGACATGACAGAGCAGTTACAGACAGGAGATGGTTATTAGCTTGGCAATGTTTACTCTTTAGCTGGAACTTGGTGCACATAAAGTTTTCATAGTTTCTAAAATAAAGAGGTAACATAGAAATCTGTTTTGAAGAGACCAAGATCTAATGGGTGTTACTGATAGAGTAGCATCTTGAAGTCAGCAGCCAGCAGCCTCTGAACCCTTGAAACTGAAGCTCCTGGGATAGATTGATGTTTCTTTTTTCTTTTTTTTAAAGATTTTATTTATTTATTATGTATACAACATTCTGCTTCCATGTATATCTGCACACCAGAAGAGGGCACCAGCTCTCATAATGGATGGTTGTGAGCCACCATGTGGTTGCTGGGAATTGAACTCAGGACCTCTGGAAGAGCAGTCGGCACTCTTAACCTCTGAGCCATCTCTCCAGCCCCTAGATTGATGTTTCTTATGGTCTAGAAATTAAAACTATTTATTTTGCAGTGCTAGGATTGAACCCAGGTAGGCCTTGTGTGGTCTAGGCAAGCATTCAACCATTGAGTTACAGCTCCAGCCCCAAGAATGAAACTTAAAAATAAAATTTATGCATATTAAAGTATTACTATTATTACTCTTATTATTATTATTGGAGATGTGGGGGGGGGTCTCACTATGTAGTTTTTTTTGTCTGTTCTGGAACTCACTCTGTAGACCAGGCTAGCCTTGGATTCACAGAGATCCAACTGCCCCTGCCTCCCGAGTGCTGGGATTAAAGGCGTGCAAAAGTGCACCACCATGCCAGCTGTATTAATATTTTGATCATCTGCTTTGTGAAATGAAAAATTGAGATTGCTATGAAGATTATTGCGTGCCTCAAAGATGATCCGTAGTCCGTAAGGCTAAGATTTCTTTATTCAGATAAACACCAGCCCAAACACAAGCCAAAGCGTGCCAGGGGCAGCAAGGCAGCCAGGCCAGAGAGAGGGGCCAGAAAGAAGGGGCTATTCACATGTGCATGGTCCCTTAAGAATCGTTCCTGTGTCACCTTAGACCTCCCCTGACCATGCCCTCACAGGTGTGTCCCGGCACACCTGTCCAGGCTACTAGGAGGCGGGGCTACAGTGTCTCCCTACAATTCCCCTTTTAGTCTAAAAAGAGGATTAAAACTTAATAGTGTAAAACATCCAAAATTAACAATCATAAAGGTAAAATATAAGAAGATACAATAATCTGCTATTGCACATCCTAACTATGTCTATTCCGGCTAAGCCCTAAACTTGAACACCTCCTTCCATTCCCAACTCTAAGCACACCTGTCTGGGCTATAGGAGGCGGGGCTACAGTGTCTCCCTACATTGCTAGCTTGGCTTCCAAGTTCTAGCTGAAGTCTAGCAAGCCTATATGTATTTATTTACTAATGTTTATAATTTGAAATCTTGGATCACCTTTTCTCTTTTTCAGTCATTCTTTCTCCTTTTTTGGGACAGGACCTGTTTACACTGGGCGTGTAAACGCAACCATGGCCAGGTGGTCTCTTACTTGCTAAAATCAGGGGCTGACCGCGAGATCCTTACAACAAAAGGAGAAATGCCGGTGCAGTTAACATCAAGGAGAGAGATCAGGAAGATAATGGGAGGTGAGCCTGTTTGGGGGAAACATTTGACTTTTGTCAAACAAATACTTTAAGATGTGGTATTATTGGCAAATTGACAGTACACAGATAACTGGTTTTATTTTTATAAATTAATTGCTATGCCAAGGTTTGTGATTCCATTGTTTGTGGATGCCAATATTGTAAGTTGTGCTTTTTTAACTTGTAAAAATGGTAGTCATAAGCCTGATGAAATATTCATCTCTCTTCTGACCTGAAGAGGCAGGCAGTCCTGACCAAAGTATTTGTCACATCCCAAATGACATTAGCTTCCACCATGCTCCTTTCTTGGTAAATTTAATGTTTTGTATTTTTCTGTTTTTAAGTGGAAGAAGCTGATGACGATGACGAGCTCCCCCAGCTGAAGAAGGAGTCAGAACTGCCCTTTGTTCCCAACTATCTGGCCAACCCAGCCTTCCCTTTTATCTATTCTCCTGCAGCAGAAGATTCCACCCAGTTGCAGAATGGGGGCTCCTCCACACCTCCTGCGTCACCCCCCACAGATGGCTCACCTCCATTGCTGCCCCCCACAGAACCCCCTCTGCTAGGGGCCTTTCCTAGGGACCACACTTCTTTGGCGCTGGTTCAGAATGGCGATATTTCTGCCCCCTCTGCCATACTCAGAACACCAGAAAGCACAAAACCTGGTCCTGTGTGTCAGCCCCCAGTGAGCCAGAACCGCTCCCTCTTCTCCTCTGTCCCACCCAAGCCACCAGTGTCTTTGGAGCCTCAGAATGGGACATATGCAGGACCAGCGCCAGCATTTCAGCCATTTTTCTTCACTGGAGCATTTCCATTTAATATGCAAGGTAATGCCTTAACAGCAAACAGCCTCTGCAACAGGAGAATGAAGTCTATTTGTTTACTTAATTGGGGTATACTTACAAAGTTAGGGAAAAGTTCTAGGACCTGTATATAAGAACTCTCTTCACTCAAGATTCATAAACTGTATACTTTTTACTAGAAAATATGGAAGTACTGTCCTTTTTCTGTCATTCCTAGGAATAAAAATTTTCTCTTGCTGGGCATGGTGATGTGCACCTTTAATCCCAGCACTCAGGAGGCAGAGGCAGGTGGATCTCTGTGCATTTGAGATTAGCCTGGTCTACAGAGCCAGTTCCAGAGCAGCCAGGGCTATACAGAGAAACCCTGTCTCAAAAAAACACACCCAAAAAAAAAAAAAAAAATTGGGGCTGGAGAGATAGATGGCTGCTCTTCCAGAGGTCCTGAGTTCCATTCCCAGCAACCACATGGTGGTTCACAACCATCTGTAATGAGACCTAGTGCCTTCTTCTGGCCTGCAGACAGAATACTATATCAAATAAAGAAATCTTTTAAAAAAACAAAGAGATTAACTTTTTTTTTATGTATATGAGTGTTTTGCCTTCATGTAAGTATATCATGTATGTGTAGTGCTTTAGAGACCAAAGAAGGTGTCAGAGATCTCCTAGAACTAGAATTTCAGACCCCGTGAGTCACGTGACATGGGTACTGGGAACCAAACTCTGGTCCTCGGGAAGAGCAGCAAGTGTTCTTAAAAGCTGACCCATCTCTCCAGCCCTTTTCCCCCTATCATTCTTGACCATATTCTTGGTGAAATATGGTTTTATGTCATTCCTTCTCTGTTTATTACTTGGTATTCTGCTATAAAGAAGGACTTTGGGGTGGCTTGAGAGATGACTCAGTTGTTAAGAACACTGGCTGCTCTTCCAGAGGACCTGGGTTCAATTCTTAGCACCCACATGGCTGCTCACAACCTTATGTAATTCCAGTCTGGGGGATAAGATAAAAACAAATCTTAGTAAATAAGGACTTTTCCTCCTCATTTATAGCCATACTGACTTTTTTGGGGGATAGGGGTATGGGTATTTTGCCTGCATGGATGTATGTATGCCATGTATGTGTCTGGTGTCCTCAGAGGCTAGAAGAGAGCATTGGATCTCCTGGAGTGAGTTACAGTTGTGAACCATCCTGTAGATTCTGGGAATTGAACCTAGGTCCTCTGGCAGAGCAGCCAGTACTCTTAACTGCTGAGCCATCTCTCCTGCTTGGACTCATAATTCATATTCAGTGTGTTGTAATTTGATGGAGGCATTTTTTTTTTTTTTTTTTTTTGAGACAGGGTTTCTCTGTGTAGCTTTGGAGCCTATCCTGGCACTCGCTCTGGTAACCAGGCTGGCCTCAAACTCACAGAGATCTGCCTGCCTCTGCCTCCCAAGTGCTGGAATTAAACTCGTTCACCACCAACGCCTGGCATAGAGGCATTTTTTTGATATCCAGATTATTCCTGATTTAGCCTGTGTGAACCCCTTCAAGCTAGTTCTTATATCCTGTGGACACATCCCCATTATTCTTGGACATCCTTATGTCCCATGCACCAAGATGTTCCTGGTTTATAGGGTCATTTCCCCACACCAACACTGCAATCCACCATTTCTTCTAGGAATCCCAGTTCTTTTGGGTAGAGAGTAGGATTTGGAAGTCAGGATGTGAGCACTAGGTGTCCTCTTTGCTATAGGTGTGACAATTCTAGGCTTTTTTTTTTTTTAAAGATTTTATTTATTTATTATGTATACAACATTCTGCTTCCATGTACATCTGCACACCAGAAGAGGGCACCAGATCTCATAACGGATGGTTGTGAGCCACCATGTGGTTGCTGGGAATTGAACTCAGGACCTCTGGAAGAGCAGGCAGTGCTCTTAACCTCTGAGCCATCTCTTCAGCCCCAATTCTAGGCTTAATTAGAGACTAAGAAGCAAAAAGAAGGGACGGATGGTGTGAAGAGGACATGGGAGAAGAGAGGGAAACAAACATTTATACATCTGTTTGTATGTGTACACATGTATTATTCACATGTATATACTTACTCATATATATGTCTCTTTCTGTGTATGTGTTTGTTTGGGTTCTTTGTTTGTTTTTGGCAGAGTCTCACTATGTAGTTCTGCCTGGCCCAAAATTCACTATGTAGAATAAGCTAGTGTTGAATTCAGAGAGATCTATTTGCCTGTGCCTCCCACATACTAGCGTTAAAGGAGTACCTGACTGTTTACATCATTTTAAGAATATTAAAAATTGCCGGGCATTGGTGGCACATGATCTTTAATCCCAGCACTCAGGAGGCAGAGGCAGAATCTCTGTGAGTTCGAGACCAGCCTGGTCTACATAGTGAGTTCCAGGACAATCTCCAAAGCAATACAGAGACATCCTGTCTCAAAAAACAAAAAACAAAACAAAACAAAAATAACATTAGAAATCACAGATTCATTTCATTCAGACAGCTCTAATTCCAGTACAAATCCAGAGTCTCTAGTGTATACTTACTTTTCCTTTTCACCTAACTTCCTAGTTTTGAAGACCTAGTACTATAGCTGCTAATATTGGTGACCTATGATGCTGTGAGGGATCCATACTTTAGGAGCAAGACAAAATTGACAAATATATGTGAATACTTGGCTTGAGTCAGCTTGACACCCTGGTCTGGAATATAAAGGCAAATTGCTTCTAACTCTGACTCAGGAATGTAGTGTTACCTACTCGAAAGCAAGGACTCCTCCCTTATTAAGTTTCAGTGTTTCAAGTCATGCTCAGATTTAGCTTTTTTTTTGTTCCTTTGCTGTTTTTCTTTTGATTTGGTATTTTTTGTTTGTTTTTGTTAATTGATTTGGGTGTATAGCCTAAGCTGGCCTGGAACTCACTATATAAACCAGGCTGGACTTGAACTCATAGAGATCTACCTGTCTATTTCCTGAGTTGCTAGGATGAATCATTTTGGTGTTTTGAGACAATGTCTCACTATGTAGTCCAGGCTGACCTGAAACATGTGGTCCTTTTCTCTCCACTTCCTGTTACTAAGATTGTAAGTGTATGTGATGAAATCCATGCCTGCCTCCTTTACTGTTTTTATTTCAAGGAGTGGTAGATTTCCTAAGTAACTTTAGATCTGTAATTGCTGAATCCTGCCAGAGTATCTCAGGTACCACATCTTGCTCTTGTCATCTTTCTCACCCTCTTCTCCTTTCCCTACTCATGTGTAGTTGGTACTCAAACCCTTCTGGAGTCTTTACCTCCTTATGTACAGTGACAGAGATTAGTGACCCATATATAGCTAGGATGACTGCTCCTGACCCCTTTTGTTCAGTGAACCATAGCAGGGAAGACAATGCAGGAAACTGCCCCAACAGAGCCATGGATGGTATAAACAAACCCTATTGACTGGCCCATGTTTTCTCAGTGGGTGATACAGACTTTAAATTACGGACGCTGAGCTATACCAGACTATGCATTACCATTTCTTTCTCTCTTTTTCTAGAGCTGGTACTCAAGGTGAGAATTCAGAACCCATCTCTTCGGGAAAATGATTTCATAGAAATTGAACTGGACCGACAAGAGCTCACCTACCAAGAACTGCTCAGAGTGAGTTGCTGTGAGCTGGGTGTTAATCCAGACCAAGTGGAAAAGATCAGGAAGTTACCCAACACTCTGCTGAGAAAGGTGAGATGTCTGCTCGACATGAGTGAGTGGCTGCTGTCTGCATTTGGAACACACCTAACTTCTTTCTTGGTTTTTGGGTCATAGCTGAAGGGAAACCAGTAGCAAAGGGTTAAGGAGAGCTGAGGCCGTAGCTCAGTGTCAAGTCTATGCTTGTCATGTGCAAGGCCTTGAGTTCAAGTTCCAACCTCAATACAGTCCGTAAGCTTGCATTCCCTTCATCTGAATCCACAGAGACCCTGGCTTACTTGCTCATTTATTTGTTTATTTATTTTGACCCAGGGTCTTGATGTATAGCTCTAGCTGCCTTGGTATTTATTGTTTGCCCCAGGCCAGCAGTGGATTTATGGCAGTCCTCCTGCCTCAGCTAATTGAGTGCTGGCATTAAAGGTGTGAGCTACTACATTCTAATACACTGGCATTTTTGAAGGCTGGAAGATAACAGAATGTTACAGGGCCTGTTCCAGTTGTTCCCATAGTGAGTGACCTGTGGGGTTTGCCTTAGTGCTCCATTAGGATTTATTCTGTGTATGGTGAGATGAAGCCCACCTGGACATCTGTGTGATCAGCCAGCCAGCGATGGGTTCTCTAGCATCATGCTTCTGGCTTTCCTGGGTTCCTGAGGAGAACTGATGACCACCTGCCTGTCCACTCAGGGCATTCGCACCCTATATCAGAGACTGTTAGGTCCTTCTCCATCTTGTCCGGTTATACCTGGGGACTGATCATTGCTTAGCTGCCTCAGGGATTTCATTTTCCTTCTAGAGTGAAGATGAACCAAGGTACTAGCATCAGTACAACCCATCAAACACAGACACATGCTGCTTCTATTACCCCCTTGCCTTGGGCTGACAGCAATGGCTTAGTGGGTAAAGGCGTTTGCTGCTAAGCCTGATGACCTGAGTTCTATCCCAGGGCCCCACATGGTAGAATGAGAGACCCAATTCCCACAGGCTGTTCTCTGTCCTCCACATGTGTATCATGCATGATACAAACATGTATTCATCAAAATAAACAAATGTAATAAAAAAGTAACTAAATGGAAGGAAAATTTTAACCCATTGCCCTATTTTGTTTTAGGACAAAGATGTTGCCCGACTCCAGGATTTCCAGGAGCTGGAGCTGGTTCTGATGATCAGTGAGAATAATTTTCTGTTCAGGAATGCTGCATCCACACTGACTGAGAGACCTTGCTACAACCGGAGAGCTTCAAAACTGACATACTAATGCAGCAGGGTCTTTATCACTGAGTATTGTGACAGTATGTGTCACCACAGGGCAAAAGGACAAGCCATTGATCCCAAAGCCTCGGATGCCCACCAGGGCCCCTGGTGTCACTGCGTAGTGTACACTAATATCCTGCCTCAGCAGGAGGGAACCCCAACCCCCCAGCAGCGGTGCCACTCTTCCAAGTCTCTTGGTGCACAATAAACCTATTGCTGAATCTTTGAACAGCTGAAAAGTAGTCTTGAGAGGCAGAAGCCGGAGGTACGATAGCCAGTGTTTTATGTGCAGAATCTAGAGGGTTGTTGAAGCAGAAACTGAGAGGGCGGACCTGTTTCCAGCCACCTCTGTTGACAGTGCACCTGAAGGGTCAGGCGCACTTCTCTTGGTGTTGCATGCTCATGATGCACCTGAGATTTTGAACTGACTAGGGAGGAGGACTGGGGAAAGAAAGCACAGGCCCTGGACAAAGGGATTCTGGTGTGACCTGTGGCTGTGAGGTTCCATATAGCATATTTATAAATGTTACTCAGGTTTAAAGTATTTAAAAGTATAGTTACCTAACTGTAAATAGGCTGTTAACCAAAAGAGCTTCCCCTCCCCCACTTTTCTTTTGTGACCACTCATGGCTGCCACTGTTTCAGGACAGTCATCTTTGCATCTCCTCCCTCCACAGCCACTAGAGGGCTCTCTAATGCTTTCTAAAGGAACCACTCCATTTTTACACTGAGCAGTTCCTGTCATCCGTGTTGAATTGCACCATCCAAGAAGAGCACAAACACTGCTGGTCCACGTCCACCACTCTCACTTCCCACCAGAAATGAAAAGCAGTTTTCTAGCCTGAATTTGTTGCTGTTTTAACAGTTTGTGGGAAACTGAACTAAAGGAGTTAGCATCTTTATTTTTGTATCACAGATAAAGGTTATTTTGGAAATTATTAGGATTTTTACATAACTCTGAGATCTGTTGTTTTTTTGTAAACAAATTGTTGAATCTTAGGAATCCCCCACCAATCCACGGGACAGTCAGTTGTGAGCACCTGATCAGACTCTGGAGCACAGCATAAGAATCTTTCCCAAGAGTGCTTTCAGAGAGTCCTCCCCTTCTCCTCAGCATCGTTCAAGTGGAAAAGCCTCTGTTTTGCTGAAACAGCTTAACTTTAGGAATAGGACCTGGCCCATGCAGATGAACAGGAGAGCAGGGGCTGGAGCAGCTGTTGACGAGGATCCCTGCTGTCTTAAGCTTTCTCCCCATAGTGCCTATAGTTTCCAAAGAAACTTAACTTCCTGACTATTAATTTTATTAGAACGCTGCAGTTGAGTGGAAACATGCAGATGTCAATGGAAGAGAATGTTATGCTGAGGTTATGGCCTCCCGATGCCACCTGAATGCTAAAATGAGGTTAAAGTGTTCTTCAAGGTCAGCTGCGTGGGGTCGCTGTGTGTAGTGACTTAATCATACCCACCGGTAGAGCTGGTGACTTCCCCCTTGTAGAGTGTTTGCATAGCAGAGTGGTGGTTGCTCATCACCCCTTCTCCCAAGTACTTTAATGAAGAAACCTCCCTGGTGTTTCAATTAATCAGAAACTACTTTATCTAGATGTACTAACCTCCCCTCCTCCCCAATTTGCTTTGGAAAAACTTAGTTTACTGATACAATTGAGTGTGATTCAATCTTGGAAGAAATGAATTCAGTATTAATTCATGTCTAAATGACTGGGGTTCAAACTCCTTCAGCCACCCCAATTGATTAGAGGTTCTCAGAAACAGTAGAGACCTGGCTGGGAGGTGGGCTACAGGAGAGTGCTACAGAGCTCAGAAGCAGAGCGACCAAGGCTCTCGGTGTCCCAAATGAGGGGACGGGTTCCACATGGCTCTGCCCAGTACCCTATCCTTTGCTGGTCCTCTGCAGTCATTGCCTCTGGCAGTGGGATGAAGATGCATGGTTGCTCTTAGGTGAGTCTGAAGTCTTAATCTATGCATTCAGAGAAATATTTTTATATGCTTTGTGTAATTTATAACAAGGGGTTTTCTTTTCAGCTTTGTTAACTGGATGCACTTCTCCTCCTTGGCATATTTAAAGCATGTGTTCACACTGTGTGTAAACATTCACGGGGACTTTTCCTCATGTGTTGTTGACTGTTCAAACATAACAGGTATTATGAAAATTAAAGTTCACTGACCAAGTCCATGTCGTCTCATTATGCCCTCCTAAACAGCACTGTGTTTCTAATCACAGAGGGCTCAAATGGCTGTAAAGTCCTATGGGGCTGGCACTGCGGAGGGAAAAGAGAAGGACCAGCTCCCTGGCTGAGCCTCCTCCACCCCACTGCCACTGCTGTTCCAGCAGCACTCATGCCCTGTCGGGAGCATCTGGAGATAGATTCTGTGTGGCGTCTTCCCTCCCAGTTCACAGCAGTCACTTCGTTTCCCTGGAGTCACTGAGCCAGCTAGATAGAGGTCATCCCCTATTAACCACATTTTTTTTGATTTATCCGATTTACTTGACACAACTGAGCTCCCCCCTTTGGGCTTTCAGCACCTGTCACAGCCTCAATGAGTTCAGAAGCGGCTCCCAAGACAGGAGAGGAAACAGCCTCACACCTTCAGATCCTTAGCTGAGAAGCATGCCGAATGAATCTCCTGTTGGTTTAGGCCAGCTAGCGCCTCACAAAGCAGACGTCATGCCAAATTGGCCTAATAAATCAGAGAGCATAGCAGAGACCTTTTCTTAGCACCAAGGAGAGGCAGAATAATTTGGGCATTTGTGCTTTCATACTTGCACTATCACAAGGATGGAAGTCGCCTTCCATACACTCATAAACTTCCTGGCCAGAAACAGCCTGCCAAAAAAAAAAAAAAAAAAAAAAAAAGTGATTAACCTTTAACAAATGGTCCTGCAGCATAGGCCAACCCAGGGCATATAGAAAAAGCAGATCAAAGGAGTCATGTCCTCAGTGACTGCCAAGCACTTAGAGAGGGGAAAGGAAAACAGCCACCACCTGCAGCCAGTCACTTTCCACCAAGAGTAAGGGTGCCGATGAGGAGGAGGAGAAGGCAGAGGAGGTGACAGAAGAGATCCATTTCAAATGCAGCCCTGGTGCCAGGTGAACGATGCAGAAAATAAAAGTCTTTGTTGGCTCATTCAAAATGGCTCCAGGGGCCGGGGAGCTGGGGTCCTGGGACACTGCTGCTAACCTTCCTGTTCACCCAGCTGACCTGAGGAGAAGAAATGACCAGTGGCCTTCCTGGTGAACAGGCATCTAAAGGATCCAGGAGGGGAGAGCTCACACACACTTTAGCCCCTGGAGAACAGGCATGGAAGACAGCAATGACAGGGACCCAGAAGCTTCTCAACAGCTCTTCCAAGAAGCTAAGGCCTCACTCAGGTCAGATTTCAGGGCCTTTATTTTTTACCTTTCCTAGCCTCTGCCCAGCAGAGTGGAAGGTACTGTAATTTCACTGCAAATGTTGGCTATGAAGATGATATTTGCAGCCAAAAATTTCGGGTCTGAGGGTTTCAGATAACTCAGCCAGTGTAGGAAGTATATAGGAAGGCCTCTGCCTGTCTTGGTTCTTCACAAAGGTTCTAACTTTTCCAGATTTTGGAAACAGGAAGAAGAAGACAACACATGATGTGTATGCTGTTGACCACACGGCTTTATTACATCAGTATCCTGTTTGAAGTGCATTCAGACAGCACCAACACAGGCACTCCGTTCCTGGGGCAGCCTGACCTAGCAGTCCCTGGCCCAGAAGGAGGAAGATTTGAAAAAAAAAATGGAAAATATGAAAATGTAGTGGTGACTGACGTCTCTTAAAAACTGCAGTATGGGAATAATGGTAGAGTAGGACCAGGTGACCCAGGCATTGGTCTGAACTTGACTTTGAACTAGACCCCAATTCACTTTCTCATTCTAGTATTAAGTGTGGCTAGTCTGTGAGGCAATTTGCAGAATAATAATAATAAAAAAATAATAATCTCACAAATGCCCCCACTCATTGCCATCAAGTCCATTCTGCAGATGCTTGCTTGTCAACAAACAAGGAAGAAACCCTTGGAATGTATCCTAGGCGAGTCCTGCATCTTTGGCCATCCCATAAAAGATGCCTCCAGCTGCAATGAGGTTGGTTGGAGAATCAAATTCAGCTACTACCCCTTTGTCCAAGACCAGCACCCTATCAAAAAAAGAAAGAGTAGTTAGTTCTCCATTAGCCCTGGAGCCCAGCCCTGCCCTTGGGGTACTGCTCAGGTACCCAGTGGCAGGTCAGCCCCACTCACTTCAGTCAACCCACTCAACCCAACTGATAGGCCCCAAGTGCTCACTAGCAAGGCTGGTTATTTTTGCTATTTTGTTAGCTCTCCCAGTGCATGAAGCAGTTTCTGGGATCAAACACAAAGTCCTATTCATCTTGGCTAGTCTGGGCTTGGAAAGCTTTCCCTAATGAGCCCTTCCTCTTGCTGGGGTCGCAGGGCTTCAGCGGCTCTGTGCGGGGAGCCACGGGCCTGTGCTAGGCCCAGTGTACATCCATCTGCTTTTCGTCATCTCACAAAGACACACGGCAGGAAACCAGGCTGCAGTGAGGCCAACGCTGCAATCTGGGACTTGGGCTGCTACTGCTGTTGCTTGGATCAACTGCCCCACCCCAGGCAAGCCTGAGCCTGCACTTAAGCCTCCTATCAACCACACACAGGAGGCACCTGGCACAAGACCCATAGGCAGCTGCACCAGGGTAAGGTGGAAGGGGTGGGGCCCCCAAGCCTGGAGAGAGACTCCTTTGTGAGAAGGGCAGGTTGCTTTCTGATCCCCAGCTGCTGGGAAGGAGTGAACATTACCACCTGGCCACTGTCCAAACCTGGGCCAAGAAGCTGTCTTACCCAAACTCAGTTTCCAGTGGCTTCTCCTGGCTCTTAACATGAACATCAACTGAATCTGCATGGTCTTCAAGAACAGCTTTTGGGGCGGGGTCAGTTCCTCTCTCTGGCTCCGCCCTCCAGCCTCAGTGCTCCCTGACTTGGGGCTATGCTGGCTGCTTCTATTTCTGAGCTATTCAGTCACCCGCCTTCCTCATTCCCCATCCTTTGGGTCCACTTGGCACTTCCCTGTCTTAGAAGAGAAGGCCCTGCCACCCTGTGTGGACTGACTTCTCTGCTTGCACACAAGGACCCCTGCTTCCTTCTCGTGGGCTCTAATTACAGGCTCTGTAACCTGACTCTTTGGTTAATTTCTGCCTGTCCTTTTAGCATGAATGAACTCCCACCCCCCCATGGTGGAGCCTGAGCCTCCCACCCTAGGGCTGCTGGGGAATGAATCTGGAAAGATCCTCTCAGCCCTGCCTCTCTCTTCAGAGGCAGAGTCTAGCACTTGCAGACCACCTGCATTCTCCTCCCAATGGGGTCTTGAACGGGAGTGGGGGACAGAAATGGGGTAGGGATGGAACAGACAAAGACTAGCATCAGGCATGCTCACTGCACAAGCTCACTGCCCGCCCCCACCCCAAGGTCCTGCTGGCTGCATGTGGACACTTCCAAGAGAAAGCCTCGGTTGACTCCCCCCCTACCTAAGGAAGCCAGGAGATTCTGAGGGCAACACTCCCTTTCTCATCCTTTGAGGAACAAAGGCTAGGGAGAATCACAGTGGGTTTCAAGGGAACTGGGGAGCAAACTGACCTTTCTCAGTGTTACCTTCAGTTTAAACATGACCTCACCAACTCCTTACAGCAGTTCTGAGAGACGCAGCAGCCCCAGAGAAGCTTTGCAAGTTGCCCATAGTCACACAGCAACAGGAGCCCAGGGCTCTGGCTCAGACATAAGTATGCTTTCTCCACAAGCATCAGTTCTTTTTCTTTTCTTTCTTTTTTTGTTTTTTGTTTGTTTGTTTGTTTGTTTGTTTTGTTTTTCGAGACAGGTTCCTCTGAATTGTTTTGGAGGTTACCCTGGAATTCGCTCTATAAACCAGGCTGGTCTCAAACTCACAGAGATCCACCTGCCTCTGCAGCTGGGATTAAAGGCGTGCGCCACCAACTCCCTTCTGTATCAGTTCTTTCAGGCACTGTTAGGGTCTACTCACCAAGGAAGGGACCCAGGAATCTGTCATGTACCTGCCAAGCAGCATAATCACATACCCTGTGACCTGCTGGGCTTCCCCAACATAGGTGGTAATGAGATGCAGATACAGTGGTGGGCATGCCAGCACTCCACCAACAAGCTTGGAAGCGACTTACGGGGCCATTCCCCTCCCCTTTCCATTCACAGTAAGGAACACAGAGATGGTCCATGCAGTTTCCAATGTCTAAGGAGCCTGATGCACCTTCCCCCACATGTTGGTAATTCCAAAAGGACCCTGTGTCTTTGCAGATGTCATTCTTCCCAGTTAACCCTGTTCTATATTCTGCTTCTTTCTTTTCTTTTTTCTTTTTTCTTTTTTGGTTTTTCAAGACAGGGTTTCTCTGTGTTGCTTTGGAGCCTGTCCTGGCACTCGCTCTGGAGACCAGGCTGGCCTTGAACTCACAGAGATCCGCCTGCCTCTGCCTCCCGAGTGCTGGGATTAAAGACCTGCACCACCAACACCTCGCCTATTCTGCTTCTTAAGCATAACTTGGGACCCCTGTTCTGTACTCCCATGCCATAGCAAATTCTAAGAGATACATGCCCAGATACTTTCATTTGCCCTGCCTCTTCCCGACTCCCAGGTGACAGCCACAGATCACCTCCCTTTCCATGGCTTTCCATCCCCTCACCCCCTTGGGTTTCCATGGGTCACCTGTCGTAGTCCATGATTGTGTTCAGCCGGTGGGCGATGGTCAGAACAGTGCAGTCGTCAAACTGGGTACGGATGGTGCCCTGGATGAGGTCATCAGTCTCCAGGTCAATGGCAGCGGTGGCCTCGTCTAAAACCAGGACTCGGCTCTTGCGGAGCAGGGCTCGGGCCAGGCACACCAGCTGCCTCTGGCCAACACTGCGAAGGAAGGCAGGTGTTTCCAGCTAGGTGCCCAAGCTACCTTCCCAGTCTTGTTGCTAATGTGTTTGTCTCTACTTCTCAACAGCCCAGGACTAGTTGTCTACTTTTCCTGGTTCTGCCACAGCTCACCAGGAACAGGGATGAGGCTTTGTACCACAATGAGGGGCCTGGAGGGCTAGACCCCTGTGAGAGCTCTGCTGTAGGTATTTGCAGGTCTCCCCTTCCTGTGCTTCCTTCTGGACCACATTCTGCAACGAGTGCCGCAGTGTGTCTGTACTGCACATTGCCAGTCATTCACACTTTATAGTAAGAATACTGGGCCTGCTCTTCCTGGATATTTGCATATAAGCCACTCGTGCCATCTTGCTAAACTATGATAATACCATTCTGGCAGCCATCTCCTACCCACACAGGGAATAGAGAGCATGGCTCTATTTGGGAGACATGAAAGGGAGGGACCTGGGGACTCCCCATCTTTGTTCACTGGAAATCAGGAAGGCAGATCCTTATCTTCAACCTCTGGCCTTGAAAGCCAGAGCCAGTAAACAAAGCAAGGCTGTGTTCCCAACCACAGAGGCCACAGCACTCCCCCCCCCCCCACACACACACCCAAGGACAAATACCTCAACCCTTCCCAGAGGGGTGAGTCACAGCCAAACTAAAGACCAGCTTCCCTCCCTGGCCTCTTCCCGAAACCCCGCAACTAATGAAGGTTCTGGCAGCAGAGTGAACTGCCAGATAGGACTCGGGCTGATTAATGGTGGGCCTGGCACAGGATACAGGTTATACTGAAAGCGACCACAAGCTCACTGAAGGAGGAGGAGGGACGGCTTCTGTCTCTAATCCTGGTGTGAAGGGCTACAGATGCTCTGGGGAAAATGCTGGGGACTAGCAGACAGCTAGGAGCTCTGGAAACAGAGGCTGGAGGGCCCATATTGCTCACCCCATGTGGTTATGTAAGTAAAGCCAATTAAAGATACACATTTACCTTTACAGGGTTTTGGGTTTTTTTTTGGGGGGGGCAGTTGTACTGGGAATTGAACCCAGACTTCACTAAGGAAGAACTATATCTCCACCCAGCCAAGGCTGGTCTTGAACTTTCAGTTTTCTTGCCTCAAGTAGTTGGGATTGCAGGTATGTGTCACTAGGCCTGTACCACCTGTTTTCCATTTGAGGAAGCCTTGTGATGAAGTAAGGAAAGTGACTGGAACAAAATCTCATATCTCCCTAAGTCCCTTGCCCTGTCTCTGGCTGGCCAGGCAGTTTTGGGCAAGTAATTCCATTTCTATTTCCGGCCCACAGGGCAGCAGAAAAGATTAAATGAGATGGTGGAGGCCAAAGTACTTTGAATACTGCAAAACATTAAGCACTGGGCAGATGTGACCTTTTGTTTGTTTGTTTCAAGTTTTGAAACATGAGTATGAACTGAATACAAGAATAAAAATAAAGGGTTGGGAATGTAGGTCGTGGTGGAGTGTTTCTGAGCATGTACAGGGTCTTGGGTTTAACCCCAGCGCCAAGAGGAAAAAGTAAGAAAAAAAAAGAGAGGGCAGAAAGGGGAGAGAACTGGTTAATACTTCACAGGAGTACATGCAGGCTAAGTGCTTCTCAGTGGAGCAGACCCAAGACTGCTCCCTTCAAAATGTAACCATTGACTAGCCACATCTGGCTCTTTCAAACTTGCATTGTAGCTATTCCAGACAGAGCTGTGTTTCAAGTGGAAAATACAGCCAGGTGTGGTATCTCACCTCAGGAGGCAGAGAAATCTCTGTGAGTTCTAGTTCAGCCTGGTCTACATAGCAAGTTCCAGGACAGGTGGGGCTACTACATAGAGAGACCCTGTCTCAAAAAATAAACAACCACTAGCCAATGGTGGTGCACACCTTTAATCCCAGCACTGGGAAGGCAAGAGCAGGTGGATCTTTGTGAGTCTGAGGCCAGTCTGGTCTACAAAATGAGTTCCAGGACATCCAAGGCTGTTACACAGAGAAATCCTATCTCAAAAAAAAAAAAAAAAAAAAAAAAAAAAAACTGAAGAAGAAGGAGGAGGAGGAGGAAAAAACAAAAACACACAATAAAAAGAAAGTGGAAATACATACAGGATTTAAACTTCTGTTTAAAAATGTAAAATATTCATAATAACTTCCTTTTTTTAAGATAAGGAATCATTATGTAGTCCAGATTGGCCTTAAACTTAAGGTAATCCTCCTGTTTCAGGCCTCCCAAGGGCTGGGATGATAGGCATATATCACCTAATAGCTTTTATATTGAGGACACACTGAATATTATTTTAGATACATTGGGCTGGATAAAATATGCTTTTAGAATTTATTCCAGGCCCTATTAAGTTAGATGATTCAGTGGATAAAGACACTTGCTATTAAGCCCGATGGCCTGAATTTGACCCCTGTAACCCACTTCTTAGTAAAAGAGAACTGACTTCTATCTTATACATGAGTGCCACTAAATGAATACTTACATTTTTAAAAGCAGTTGTTATTCTACTGGGTATGGTGTGTGTGTGTGTGTGTGTGTGTGTGTGTGTGTGTGTGTGTGTGTGTGTGTGTGTGTGTGTGTGTGTAGGCAAAAGTGGAGGTCCGAGGACAACCCTGTAGAGTTGATCCTCTCCTACCTTTAAAAGGGTTCCGAGGATTGAACTCAGGTCACCAGGTTTGTGTGGCAAGCATCCTTCCCCACTGAGCCATCTCATTGGCCCAAGCCTCTCTTGAGAAGGGGTAACGCTATGCTACCCATTAATATGTCTACCAGAAAAATATATAATTACATACATATATATATATATCTTAAATTACATATGCTTATTTTATTTATTAAGTTATATACATGGGTATTTTGCCTGCATGTATGCCTGTGTACCACATGTGTGCAGTGCCTACTGAGGCCAGAAGAGGTTAGATTCTCTAGAACTGGAGTTAGAGGTAATTGTGAGCTGCCATATAAGTTATGGGAATTGAACCTGGGTCCTCATATTATTATCAGGCAGTGCAAGCAGGCATAGATAATTATTATCCCTATTTATACAGTGAATGTAAAAGGGACACAGAATGGTTAAACAACTTACCCTAAATCACACAGCTAGGACTAGGACTATGGCTTAGCAGTAAAGAGCCTGCCTAGCATTGGTGAATCTAGCACCAGAAACAAACTTAAACAGAATGCAAAAGAAACTCTAGGTATCTTGAGGCTTTTGACTCAGTAAGAACAGACTGCTGATCTCTGGAACACACAGCCCAGAGGCTCGGTGTGTGGAACCTACAGGTACAGAGGGGGAACAGGGGATACAGAGAGAGCAGACTGTATATTCCTGAGCTGTCTCCATGCTGGCAGACATCTTTAGCTTTCCAGAGCAGCACGGGCTTCCTCTCACTTGTGGTACACGTACATGACGACCCTAGAGCCCAGAGGACTCCAACTAGGGTGGGACTGTTTCATCTGAATGTCACTGGGGTTGAATTAGATGAGAACCAAGGCTAATTCATATCCCAGGCATGCCTTCTCTTAGCTGTGCAACTTTGGCTAATCCCTTGCCCTCTCTGAGTTTGTTTCCTAAACTGCAAAGTGAGACTTGTCTGACGAAGAGCGGTGTGCCTTCTGAGAATATACTCCATAGGAAATGACATCCCTGTGCAACTCTGGCTGAGGGGCATGCCTGTGTGGTTTGGGGGTTCATCTGGATCCTGTGCCGCACGCACAGGGCCCCCAGTTGGGGCCAGCATTCCTGACATGTTCACTCCCCCTCCTACCTGAGATTATCTCCGCCTTCAGAGCACTCGAAGTCCAGGCCTGCTGGCTGACTGCTCACAAATGAGTGCAGGTGGGACAGCTCCAGGGCCCTCCAGATATCCTCCTCTGAGTAACGGCCAAAGGGGTCCAGGTTCATGCGCAGGGTCCCCGAGAACAGGATGGGGTCCTGGTGACATCATATCACACAGAAATAGCTTACACCCTATAAGGAGTCTCAAGAGCGTGAAGGAGGAAAGAGATCCACCAGCAGCTCTCTGCTCTGTCCCCAGTCTTCCAGAAGGGGGACATTAGCAGGAAGATAAAAAACTGTCTGTGGGGGAGTGATAAACCTCAGCTTGGCCAGTTGCTAAGCCCCCTGCTGAGGCAGCAAGCAGTGCCACTAATCCACCTCTGAAGTGTCTACTCAGCATAAAAACAACATGCTAAGAGCCAGAAAAGGCTGTGCCATTAGGAGCTATACAACCAGGAAAGAAAGATAGGACACCTCAGCGTTGCTGTGTTGGGAGGAGCCTGTGGTCCTTCCCATTCGCTAGTCCAGGAGCCCAAGGGCAGTCCTGACTGGCCGAGGTGTCTGCCCTTCTGGGTCTGTGCCTAGGTTTCTCTTGTGTTGATTCTGCTCCCCTCTGTGGAGGCATCTCTTCAACCAGGCCCCAAGACGCCACCTCTTAAGTTCTTGAAGTTTCGGGGTTTAGGAATGGGGTCGGGGAAGGAGCAGTGTCAGCAGGCTCCTACCTGAGGGATGATGGTCAGCTGAGAACGCAGGTCGTGGAGGCCAATGTGTGCCACGTTGAGTCCGTCAATGCAGATCTCACCCTCTGCTGCCTCCAGGATTCGGAAGAGGCAGAGAGTCATGGAAGACTTGCCAGCCCCAGTGCGGCCCACAATGCCTACCTGTGGGGTATGGGAAGGGCTGTCAGGGGTACCTCTAGGTTTCTATCAGCGCCCCAGTAGACAGCCAGTTAGAGCACCCATGTTTCCCCACAAGGCTGTGGCAAGGTCCCCGGGCACAAGTACCTTCTCTCCACCCTGCACACGCAGAGTCAGGTTCTTCAGCACTAACTCAAGGCCCGGGCGGTACCTCACTGAATAGTTCCGGAACTCCACTGCCCCATGCGTGGGCCAGCCTTCTGGAGCACGGGAGCCCTCCACCACCCAGGGGGCCTGGCAGGAGACAGTTGGGTTCTCATGTTCTCATCAGGGTGACACCTGTCCAAGCCCTCTCTCACGGTTCAGCCCCACCCCTTTCCAGACACCTCAATCCTCACCCACCATGGTCCCGATGGGGAAGGCCTGTGGTTCGGTGAACCCTTACATCCTTTGACTCTTTTCTGTGATGTAACCCGGGGCCTCACACATGCCAGGCAAGCATGCGATCACCGGGCCACACCCCCAGCCTTTTCTCTTTGATTTCATTCCGCCAAATGCTACTCCCAAACTTCACTGTCCTGCCCCTGCCCCTCTGTTACATATCTCTGAGGTTCTCTCCCTGCTTGCTTCAGCACCTGCTTTTGTCATTTTTATTTTATTTATTTTTTTTATTACTAAGTGTCACCAATGAGACAAAGCTCTCATTCTGGGAGGCTTGTGTTCCGGCACACATAGGGGCGTATGATTTATACGTCAGCAACTCTCTATAGTGAAACAAGTGATGAAGGTTTGGGGTTGCTGTTCTACGCACTATTCTAGAAGGCTTCCTGGAAGAGGTGACAGCAGTGTCCTGAAGCAGGTGAGGGAGGGAACAGGGCAAGTGTCTATCTAGAGGAAAGGCATGACAGACAAGGGAATGATATTTGCTCTTTGTGTTCTGCAGGGGGGCAGGCACTCTGAGTTACCTCCCAAGTGCTGGGGTTAGAGACACAGCCACCACACCAGGTTTAGTGGGTGTTAGCAACAGAACCCGGGGCTCTGTGAGTTAGTCATGCACTTGACCAAAAGAGCTATCATAATAGACCAGGCTGGTCTCAAACTCACGGAGATCCTCCTGCCTTTGCCTTCCTAGTGCTGGAATTAAAAGATGTGTATCACCATGCCCAGTTCCCAGTGGAGTTTTAAAGGGTCTCACTGGCCACTGCAAGGAGAATGGATTGGCTGGAGATAAGATGGTGGGAGTTTTGAGGAAGAACCATTTGAGAGTCCCAGTGAAAACAAACAAACAAAAAACCACAGGGCCTATTGTCCAAAAAAAAAAAAAAAAAAAAAAAAAAAAAAAAAAAACAATCCAAAAGAATGACAATAGCAGAATACTGAGCCAGCACAAAGCCCTGCGGAGTGTGGGGTCCTTCTAAGAATGGGGAACTATGTGACATTTCAGGTTGTACACCCAGGAAGCCAACCTTGCTTCTGGGTAGGAAAGCCAGACAGACAGCAGTGAAATTGGCAGAGGAAGCCGAGCATGGTGGTACACACCTGGAATGACAACCCTCAGGAGACAGAAGTAGGACTGTGAGTTTGAGGGCAACGTGTGACAAATAGCAAGACTGTATCTCAGTGGCAGAGTGCTTGAGTAGCATATATGAGGTCTTGGGTTCCAGACCCAGGACTGGGAAAAGAAGAAAAAGAGGAAGAGGAGGAGGAGGAAGAGGAAGTGGGAGGGAGAAAGGGGAGAAGGGAGAGAAGGAATTAGGAAGAGGGAGAGAGAAGAGAGAAGGAAGGGGAGGGGGAACAGTCAGGGGGGAGGGGGAGAAGAGGGGAGGGGCGGGAGCAACGGAACCAGCAACAGCGTCTTATGCAGATAGCTCCCTTCAGAAGATGCTAAAGGGTAGAAATGGGCATCAGGGCTGAGAGCAGCATCATTTGGGATAAAGCGACTGCGTACATCCACAGGATATGTTGGATGCAGAGAGACAAGGAGACAAGGTCTCTCAGGAATCAGGTGGATGCTGGGGGAAGAAGGGTTAGCATGGAGGCCAGGTTGGCTTGGGATGGGGAACGAGTAAGTGGGTGGGGTTCAGTGAAGGTCTACCAACAGGCTTTCGTCACAGAAGACGTCCCAAACAGAAGAAAGGATGCTTTCACCTGGATAGAGCTGAGGCCACATCAGAGGAGAACAGCAGAGTCTCTTAGACTGGAGCCAGGTAGGTCACGAGTGAGCTGTGCTCACGGGAAGCAGGCTGCAGCAGGCAAGGGCCGGGGTAAGGAGGAGGTGGAACCTGCGTAGATCATAGCTTAAAACAGACTTCTCGACAAAGGAGAACTGAGAACGGAGGCAGTGAGAGGCAGGGGGAAGGGAGGTGGAGGCTGTTTGTGTCTAGGATGGACGGTGAACATGGATGAGTATCCCACAACAGAAGTAGCAAGACAGAAGATCTAGCCTAGGAAGCCATAGTCTCTGGCAGCTATCTGGTCTGGTAGACGTGGAGGGGCTGGACTTTGAAAAGAGAAGAGAAAACATGGGCTCAAAGAGAAAGGAAGGAGGCGGAGGATGCCCAGGCGGCACTAAAGAGCTGAAGGTGAAGGGAGTTCACATCTTTAACCTAGTTTCTCGTGGAAGGAAGAGTCAGGCGGGGTGGAGGGCTGAGCACAGAGAACAGACATGATTTGAGGACAGAGAATGCTCTGAAGATGTCTTTTTGAAAGTGGAAGCACATAGTTCTCAGGGAGGTGAAGCAGGGAGGGTGGTTATGAACATGAAGGAACAAACATTAGTGATACACTGTTCTTCAGCTTCACATCAGCTGCTCTGTGCAGGTATGATGTGGACGAGTGGGCTCAGATAGGGTGGGGTTTCGTAGGCAAGGGCAGGGATAGGTTGAGAGCATCTTTATGTGGAACATAGATAGAGTCTAGGCTACATAGGGAAGGTGAAAAAGACAGGAGCTGATGGCTGGGGGAACAAAGGCAGGTCATGGCACTGGAGGCTCATAAAGGGCAGAGGACTGTGACCATGGAACACACGGTCAGAGGTCAAAAAGTGGGGTGCTTGGCACTAAGAGCTTGGGGATGGTGCAGCCTCTGGGCATGAAGAAGCTGAAATGTGCCATCTTCGGAAAAAAAAAAAATCTGTACCCACCCAGGAGACAACAAATTCTTTTTCTCTAAAGAAGAGCACACTTCCTGGTGGTGGTGGCACATGCCTTTAATCCTAGCACGTGTGTGTGTGTGTGTGTGTGTGTGTGTGTGTGTGTGTGTGTGTGTGTGTGTGTTGGGGGGGGGGGGCAAGGTCAGATGGATCTCTGAGTTCGAGGTCAGCCTGGTCTATAGAGTGAGTTCCAGGACAACCAGGGCTACACAGAGAAACCTTATCTTGAAAAACAAAATACAAAAAACAAAAAAGAAAGGAAAGGAGGGAGGGAGGGAGGGAGAAGAAGAAGCACACTGCCTCACCTCTGTCCCTTTGGCTGGATTGCTCATCTTTCCCCTACTTCACCTCATCTGTCAAAACTTGCCCATTCATTCTCTCAATCTCACTTACTCCAGGGTCACCCCAGCTGAACCACCTCCTCTATCTGTTCTCTGTGTGGACGGATGAATGGATGGATTAAACAGCTCGCCTTGAGACACAGTGATGACAAGCCACCAAGCATCCTTCCTCAGGTCATCCAGGTACCCTCTGCTGCAGGGCTTGTCTTGGAACTCACCTCAGTCTCGGTCTTGGAGTACTCCTTGACTCTCTCCACAGCTATGATATTAGATTCCAAGTCTGACATCATTCGTATCATCCAATTCAAAGCCAAGGTTATCTGAGCAAAGGAAATGTGTTATGGGAGGGGCCCAGCGGTGGCTTCATTTCTTCATCAGTGGAATCCATCCCATCTAAGACCTACAGGTGTGCACTGACTAGGCCTCTAATCACAAGCTGCGCCTCAGGAGGTGACAATGTGGAGTTAGTGGGGGACAGCCTCACTCAGTGCCTCTCAAACTTTAATATGTATTAGGCTTCTCAGAGCAACCTGTCAAAACGCAGTGTGTGAATCAGTAGGTAGAAGACTCTCCACTCCTAACAAGCTAATAGGCTAATATGGCAGTGCGGCCAGTCCAGGGGCTGTACTGTGTTACCAAGAAGCCTCGACAGCAAGGCAGAACCCAAGCTCTGGCTGAGCACTGAATGAGAATGAACATTTTAACAAGGTCTCCCAGTGAGTCACATGCACTTTAAGGTTTGAGCAGACGGGCCTTTCGGCATTACTGTTTGTTTACCAATACATTCAGATCCGAGCCACCTGAGGCCTCGACAATGTGATCTGCTTTACAAAAATCCCATTTGCAGGTTGTGTAACTCTTTGACCATTCGGGCTTAGTGTCAGGGTGACCTCCAATCCCAGGCTCCAGTCACCTGATCTGTTTACTCTTTCACATCCACAGGGTTCTGGGACCTTAGAATATCCCTAAATCCACAGATGAAGCTCAAGTCCTTCACATAAAATTGCTTATCACTCACATGAAACCTACCCACCCGCTCCTGTATGCTGCCAATGGTCTCTACACTACTTAAAAGCACAATGCCTACCCCATCGCTTCATTTACATGCATTCTGAGACTCAGTGAAGTTGTCTTGTTTGTTTGTTTTCTGCTTTTTTGGTAGAAGTTTCTAGAATTTTTTTTCAGGTTGTTTTGGGGGGACGTTTTATTTCGTTTTGTTCTGAGAAAGGGTCTCACTATGTAGGTCAGACTGGTACTAAATTCATAGCAATCCTCCTGCCTCAGCTTCCCCCTAAGTGCTCAGATTCCAGGCATGCACCATCATTTCCAGCCCTTTCAAATGTTTTCTATCTGCAGTTGGTTGGTTCTTCAGTGACAAAGCCAAGGACACAGAGGGCTAGCTGTAGCTCCCCTGAAGTCAATCACCACATCATGTCGTCTGGTCCCACATGGCCCATGTTCAGACCCCAGTCAGGTTGACCTACAGTTCACCCAGACATGGCAGTTCTGTTTGGGCCAAGCTCCAAGACCATTTCTCCAAGACCTCAGAGCAGGGAAACTCCTCCAAGCTCTTGGCACCTACCTCCCTCCCACCCTCCCTCCTTCCCTCCCTCCCTCCCTAACTCCCATACTTGGGTTTGAACCTAGAGCCTTGCAAATGCTAGGCAAGTGCTCTACCAATGAACTACATCCCCATGACTCTTGTCAAACTTTCTTCTTCCTGCCAGGGAGACCTCTCCAGCCTATATCACACTCCCTGGCTGGCAGTGTCTCCCTGTGCCTGGCTGAGAGATCTTGGGCTTTGAGAACCCAGCTGGGACTGATCTGCACGTGGAGCAGAGGGGTACACTCAGCAGGTGCTTGTGAGCCCTATGTGTCCTCTGCCCCAGTGGTGGCCCTGCCGAGAGTTCCAGGTCCCACCTTACCTGTAAGGCATAGGACACAGAAAGACCCACTTCCCCTGGATTCAAGCTGTTTCTCCCAATCACTGCAAACAGTGCGGCAAAGAGCACCACGCAGTTCCCCACGAACTCCACGTGGACACCCAGCCATCTGTAGGGACCAATAGGGAGGAGATGAACAAGGGCAGGAAGTGCTGGAGCCCATCCAGAACCACAGAGAGCCTAGGGCACCTGTAGGGGAAAGGCAGGCTCCTGACCGGTTGGAGGCGATGTAGGGGTATGAGCTCTTCTGGTTGTTGTCCACCTTCTTATCACTAAGGACCTTAAAATCTTCAATTCGGCCATAGGCCCGGATGACACTGGTGCCTGTTACTGTCTCCGAAAAGTGGGAGAAGATGGGTGACCGACTGATGGATTCCAGCCGCTTCAGCTGCCGGGATGTGGCCACATAGAAGCGCTGACCAGGGACAGGGAGAGAACTTCAGTCAGGGTTGTCAAATCACCAACTCAGTCCTACGGGTCCTCCAAACAATTCCAACTGGCCCTACCCTTCCCGCAAGACCTTGATGGCTTTTCCTATGTTCCCGTGGGGGAACAGATTCCAGACATACATTATACACTTCCCCTCTGATCAGCTGTGCTCAGCCAGCCAGCCCACCTCGTCCATGAAGCTCTCCCTGATTTCCTAAGCCCTTCTATCTCATCTTTTACAGACCATGACACACTGACTTGTTTAACCTCCCAAGCAGTGAGATTTCTTGTTCTGCTTAAAGACTTTAGACACATGCAAATGACTGCAAAAATAATTTTGTACCTTTTTTTTTCTGAAAAAGTCCCTCTTACCCTACCTAACTAGTCATTTAAGGGTCATAACCCCACAAAACCATGGTTCTGCTTTCATTTCCTAGCCTGTATTCTGTGAGGACTGCACAGGAGGGGTATGTAGGAGGTTCCTTATGTAGGGGCTTCCCTTCCAGGTCCCTGTGGGAACTGGTCACCCCCTTGAAGAGAAAGATCCCAGTGACCATGAGCCCTTACAATGAGCTGCCTCTGAATGCTGAGCTCAGGTGACACATATATTTCTAAGTATGCACACAAAGGACAGTGTCTCCCAAACCGTTTACAATTACTTAAACAATATCAATAGGTGTAGGGGGTTGAGGGGAAGGCTCACTCAGTAGAATGCATGCCACACAAGCATGAAGACCTGGATTAAGATTCCCCAGCACCCACATAAAAATCCAGGCATGGCAATCTACACCTGTAACCCCAGCACAGGGGAGGCTGGGATAGGCAGATCCTTGAAGCTCATTGGGCAGTCAGCCTAGCTGGATAGGTGAGCTCTGCATTCAATGAGAGACTCTGTCCCAGAAAATAAGGTAGAGAGTGATTGGGGAAGACACTCAGCATTGACCTCTGGCCTCCACAAATGTACATGTGCACACACACACACACACACACACACACACACACACACACACACACACGTGTGCACACACAATACGGCCAATTGGAAAGGGGCTCACAGCTGTCAGAACATTTTATCTTCACATCATCACTATGAATTAGATTTGAAGAGTCTATTTTACAGGTTAGATAAGTGAGTTGCAAGGTTGTGAAACAATTGACTGAAGTCCCTGATCCAATCCAGTCACAACCTAGCTTATAAAAGTGCTTGGTACCCATCAGAACCTCCTCCCTCCCTGTGCCGTGTGCATATACACACTCCAAGCCCACTCTAAAGCTCCACCTGCCCCATGCAGTGTCCCACCCATCCATGCTGGCACCTGCACAAAGCCATAGAGCACAGCCAGAGGCAGGACAACCACAATGAAGAGCGGCGTGCTGGCCACGATGACCACAAGGGTGGAGATGGATGTGTAGAAGGAATTGAACAGCATGAGGATGGTGGGGGCTAGAACCTCATCAATGACATATATGTCCTTAGAGAAACGGTTGAGGATGCGGCCTGAGGGCGTTGTGTCAAAGAAGGACTGTGGCGAACGAATCTTGTTGTGCAACAGAGCTGAGTGCAGCAGGCGGGCAGCCTGGACACTTCCGACCACCATGGTGAAGGCTGACAGCATCACCAGGAGCCCTTGTTGGGAGAGGTAGAAGATGAGTCACTTACTGCAGGGGAGGAGGCCAGAATAGAAGGGCAGAATGAGACATGGGATGGCTAGGTGGGATTAGGGATATGGTTCTGTGGTTGGGGAAGGACGAGGGAGCCGCTTCTAGACACCCCAATATGTTCACCTTGTAGTATTCCTAAGGTAGCATAGACACCTAGCCTTTGGGAGGTGTTGTTCTGTCGGCCATTGACCACCGCATCATTGGCCCAGGCACTGAGCCACACATTGGCTCCGATGGAAGCCGCACTTTGGCCCGCATACAGGAGGCAGATAGCTAGAGTGGTGTAGAGTCCCACAGACTTGGCATAATCCCAGAACACGCTCATCTTCACCTGTAAAGAGTGGCCACACAATCTCCACGAGCCCTCAGGAACTGATCATTTACTCCAGCCCATGCCCACCCTACTCACATTGCCTGTCTCTGCTGTCTCATCTTTGATAAGTGCACCAGTCTCCTTTGCCTTTGTCACCTGCATCTCCTTCTCTGATGGATTCATATGTCTCTTGGACACAGGCCGGTTCTGGCTTTCCCCTTCTGAAGACATGGTACTCATCTGTCTGTGGAAGCGGCTGGTCAGACCCAGGCGGGAGACCATGGACATACTCCCAGGATGTGAGTGACAGGAAGAATGTCCACTTGTATTCTACCTGCTGGGGCTTGGCAGCCCTGGTGTAGCCTTCTGGGGACTTGAGAACTCTGGGGAGTTTACCTCATGAACTGCTTTCGGACCTCGTACATGGATGGCTCATTGTCTGTCAGGTCTGTGTGGGTGCTGAGTGTGTCTTCAATCAACAACACCTCCTCGTCTGCATCTTGAAAGACTGCAGCAGGGAAGGAAAGTCACAGAGGTTGAATGCTCCTTCTGCAGCCCTCCAGACCCCATCCTCTGTGCCAGTGGGAGGGCTGGATAGACAAGCAAGGAGGCGAGGAGAGGGTTCGAAAAGACAGCCAGAAGGAAGCTATGGCGTGATGGCGCACGTCTTTAATCCCAGTACTCAGGAGGCAGAGGCAAGTGGATCTATGTGAGTTGGAGGCCAGCCTGGTCTGCAGAGTGAGTTCTAGGACAGTCTGGGCTATGTAGAGAAACCCTGTCTCTAAAACAAAACAAAAACAAAACAAAGCAAACCAGTAACAACAACAACAAAAAACATCCAGAGCCGGGCGTTGATGGCACATGCCTTTAATCCCAG